GCCAGCCCCCCCCCCAATGGGAGGCAGGCAGCCCCAGCCTTCCCTGGCCCTGGGAGCACGGGAGGGTGGTAGGGGGTGGCCTCCGTCTCCCCAGCCCCAGGAGGACTGGCAGCACAGCCCTAGCCTTGGCAGGACTGAAGGCCAGGCAGACCCAGGAGATGAAGGGGAGACTCTGGGGGCGGAGTGTGGTGGGGCCAGCCAGGCAGGTTGGGAAGGGAGTGCCTCCCCCGGCCTCTGAGACCCACCCCCCATGCCTGGGGTTCTCCGTTAGCGAGTGCAGACCCATCAGAGCCTCCAGCCTTGCATGCACGTTGGAGACACGTGGAGAGGGGGGCGCATGGCCCGGCCCAGGAGTGTCGCTACCCAGCGTCGAGGTGTCCAGGCCCAGGATGGTCAGCGGAGCGAGGGAGGGAGCCTGTTTCAGGGATCCCAGCAGGTACAACCTGCTTAAAGGCCATCGCTGGAGACGCTGAGCAGGCAATGCTGCCCCCTGGTGGCGTGTCCACCGAAAGGATGAGCCTACACGAACGGGGAAAGTCGAATCACGACCTGCAACTCAGCTAGGTAATTACGCAGCTGGAGTCAACATACCTGGATTCGAGTTTCCCTGCAGCAGGAGGCCCATGGGAGCAAATGCTTCCCTTACTTCTCGCAGGAGCAGGAATACTGGCCCCCCCGGGGGGGGAGGGGTGAGCACCCTCTGAGTTCGATTTAGCGGGTCTTTGCTAGACCCACTAAATTGAATTCTGGGAGATCAATTGCAACAGTGAAGACCAGGCCTTATACTCCAGGCAGAGGAGGATTTGAATCCCAGCTGACTGTGTACCTGTGCACACACAGGCATGAGTGTGTGTATTGATTTACAGTTCAAGTGGGAGAATACACAGAGAAGCTGATCAGAACTTCGCTGCAAGGAAACGGAAGCAGTAACTTGTCTAAGGCCACCCTCTCTCCTATGGGCAGGGCTCCTCTCTACAAACCCCACATGTTTTCAAACTTCCTTCCTCTCGGCATCGCTCCGTGCCCTTCATCGCTCTTGCTGCCCACCTGGAAAGCCCAGCAGGGCCTCGTTGTGGCAGGTGCCAAAAGCAGCGTGAGAGCCGGTCCTTGCCTCGTGTTTAGCGCACTGCTGTGGTAGGCAGCAGGGCTTTGGGAACCTGGAGTTCCCCAGTCCAGGTCCAAGAGATGTGGAGTCTACCATGGCTGGGCCTAAGTCTCGCAGCCGTGCTCCTGTGTCCACACCCCGGCCCACACACCCGTAAGTCCCCAGCTGACAGATTCCCTATCCGCTGGGTAAGGACAGATCTCCCGTTCCCTCCATCCCACGGTTCTGTAGCTCCCTCCTGTGGTTAAACGTCATGTGTCATGCCAGGCAGAGATGGATTCTTGAGGCTTTGGCTCACGCGCCTGCATTTCGTTTGCAGTGTCCGTGCTCTTTCCAGTTCCTGTGCGCTTAGCTGGTGGATTCCACAGCGCAGGCCGCCGGGACAGTCGATATCAGGGACCGGCCCAGATCCCAGTGTCATGGGTCTGGTTTTGGTTCTTTGTCATCGGAGGATTCAGCTGCCTACTTAAATCCTGCCCCATTGAGTTTACAGGCTAAGAGCATCTCCTTAGCTATTTTTAACACTTCTAACTTGTCCAGGGATATATGTCTCCCTCTGTGTGTGTCTGTGTCCTTGGGCAACACCCCATGGGGGCAGCAAGATACTTATACATACGAATAGAAGCAAAAAAAAAATCTTGGCATTGGAAAAGATTCAGAAAAAGGCAACAAAATGAAGAGGAGTTCGGAACGGGTGCCATATGAAGAGAGATCAATAACACTGAGACTTTTCAGCTTAGAAAAGAGGAGACAAAAGGGGGATATGAAAATGGTCTATAAAATCATGAGAGGTGTGGAGAAAGTGAACAAGGAAAAGTTATTTACTTGTTCTCATAACTAGAACTAGGGGGTCGCCAAATGAAATTAATAGGAAGCAGGTTTAAAACATACAAAAGGAAGTTTTTCTTCACACAATGTACGGTCAACTTGTGGAACTCCTTGCCAGAGGATGTTGTGAAGACCAGGCCTTTAATAGGCATTGATTAACCTGTCCTCCATGAATTTATCTAGTTCATTTTTGAGCCCCGTTAGTCAGGATGGGTAGAAATAGTGTCCTTTGCCTCTGTTTGTCAGAGGCTGGGAATGTGTGACAGGAAAGATCATTTGATGGTTCCCTGTTCTGTTCACTCCCTTCACGTGTAAATGACAGAGCCGCCGGGGCCCGTGCCCCAAGTGCTGAATCTGTGGGAGCTGTGGGGCAGAAGCACCACTGGAAAAATACAGTGAGTGTGCTGCACCTTCCACTCAGGCTATCTCTACTCAGGCGCAGAATACGCAGCTGCGTAGGGCACCTGAAAATGTGGGGCACCGCTGGGTCTTAATGCCCACCCACCCCCCTCTTCCTACCCCCGTCCTGTGGCCCTGCTCCCTCCGGGGAGGAGCTAGTGAACTGAACAGTGGCACAGCCTGCCCAAGCCATGAGCAGCCCCCGAACCTGTGACAGAGCCAGTCACGGTGGAATGAAGCCACGTAACAGGCACGTGCCAGCCCCAGGTACGGCCTGTCAGTTTCTGAATGTACAGGCCCCGAGTTTAGCGTTTGTTTTACACGTATGTCATTAGTGTGTCGCTAAAGATGATAAATCACGTCTCTAAAAAACATCCCTCCCCTGGCCACCATTGGGCATAGGGGCACCAGTTTCATAGCACTGCCTAGGGCCCCGTTCGTCCTCAGGACGGCCCTGCCCACCAGACTCAGCTGCTTGGCAGCTCCCCCGAGCAGCTAACGAGGGCACTGGCCCAGTGGGTTACAGCTGCCCCAATCCCCATCTCTGGCCCCTGGCTGCCCCCGTGGCCATTCCACAGCATAACGCCCTCCCACCAGACGCCTCCCTTTCCATGTGATGAGAAACAATCCAATTCCAGGCACGTCCCATTGTCCTGGAACAGCCAAGCCCCGACCTGGCTTTATGTTTGGATTAGAGAAAGCTGCTCCTGAATTTGGTGGCCGTTGCTGTTACTGTTTAGACGGACAGACAGACACATTTCTAAATACATAGTCAGATAGCTGGTGAGAGCATGTGAGGCTGGCTTGCGGCCAGCCGTCCCCAGGCATCGGCGGCAGGGTGCTAGCAATATTGCACATGGAGCTAAGTCTGGATGGCAGCAAGCAAGGCTGACATTTGTGCTGGGTGTCTCATCCCCTCACATCAGCATGTTCTCTCCACTCAGGCGCTTTAGCCCCCATCAGGGAGCTGGGTAACGCGGCTTTGAACTGAGTCTCTTGAAAGCTATTCCGACGTCCCTGGCTTGCGGGTTTTGCATGAACGATCGGGTCCTGCCCAGCTCTTCGGTGGCCAGGATTTCCTAGCGATTCTTGGGTTTGTCCGCACAGAAAACAAGGCCCCGTGGTGGGAACTGAGTCTCAGAGCTCTGGTCCACAGCCTGCAGCTCCTGTTATGGGGCTAAAGATAGCCACGTGGCCGTTCCAGCTCGGGCTCCGAAGTGATTTTAGGCGTGAGCAGAGTGCAAGTTCTGCAGCCCTGGACACTTTGAGCCATTGGCTTATATGGAAAACAAAACACAACTAAACAAAACAGCCCCCCCAAAAAACTGGGCAGCCAAAATCTCCAGCCACTTGTGAAGCCCTTGGTGCTGCTATGGAAGGGCCTTGTTGCTACTGCCTTGGAGGCCTCGGTGCTCACAGGCCTTGAAACCCGGAGGACTCTGACGGAAGGCAGAGCTGCGCTGGCGTTTGGGGCGGGGTGCCACGTACTACAGAGAATTAGCAACATTCCCCACATCCTGCTCAGAGCAACAGATGCTCTACAGGAATAGCCCACAGTGTGACTTTGCTTGCCCTGTAGTGTGCACACACGGTCAGGGAGTGAAGGACAAATCGATAACAAGCTCAAGCTCGGGGTGCTGAATTGTCTTGTGGATAATAAGGCCTAGGAAGGCCTGAGTCTGCCACTGAATTGAAATAGGCATATTTGTGTCTCTCCTGTGCCTTGGTTTCCACATTTGTACATTGGGGATAATAATAGGCAGAAGAATTAAAGCTGCAGAGAGATGTGGGGGACGAAAAGATCGACTGTGGCAGAGGACATAAAGCAGATAAGTGAGAAGATGGCACTTGGAAAGGGAATTAGATGGAAGACCAAAAAGCTCTCATGGATGTGGATAAGGGAGAAGTGG